CACACACACACACACACACACACACACACACACACACACACACGTACACGCACGCATACACATCGAGGATAATCGGATATCCTAACACCACTGGAAAGTTTCCTTCAGTCATCAGTAGACTGGAAACTGACTAGTGACACATGGGGGGTAGGACCGTGTCTGGGCTCTTGCTCTGTTCCATGCTGACTTCTGTCCACAGGCCAGTCCCATGGCATCCCCTATGTAGTTGAGGGTGAGCTCTGACACCAGGCCAGCTAAGAATGTCACTTCTCTTCATTGAGATCATTTGATCATTTGCCTGCCTTTTCATCTATCAATCTATCATTTATCTATCCATCCATCCATCCATTTGTTATTCATATTATTATTACTATTATTTTGGTTTTATGAGACAGGCTTTCTCTGTGTAGCTCTGGCTGTCCTGGAATTCACTCTGTAGACCAGGCTGGCCTCAAACTCACAGAGATCCTCCTGCCTCTGCCTCCCGAGTGCTGGGATTAAAGGCGTGTGCTATCACCTCCCGGCTTTTTGTTTGGTTTTTGTTTTTCTCTTTCCATGGACTCAGTCTGTTGGCTTCTTCAAGAAAGCTTGCTGGAGTTTGACAGAGGTTCCTCTGGGGCGTTGGGGGGGTCACCTTAACCATACGGCTTCAGCTCACCCACATGCTGGAGCCCCGGTGTATTTTTCTAAGTAGTGTGTGTTACTTTCAGCATAGCAGTCTTACACACCCTAGGACAGGTTAGTCCCTGGGTATCGGATGTTTTTAAAAAGTCTTTGTGTGTGTTGTGTGTGCTGTGTGCGTGTGTGTTCATTGTGTGTGAGTACTGGACATGGCTGAACCATGGCGCAGTTGTGGATGTCAGAGGACAACCTCGGTCTCAGCCCTTGCCTTCTACATGTTTGAGATATGGTTGTTTGCCAAGGTCTGCACCTGGCTAGCTGGCCTGCGGGCTTCTCCTGTCTCTGCCTTCCATCTCGTCAGAGCTCACCGGCTTTCCCTGAGCTATGGTATACGCTTTACATGGATTCTGGGGATTCTAACTCAGATCCTCACACTGTACAGCAAGAGCTTCACCCACAAAGCCATCCATCCCCCACAGCTCTAGCTGATGCTTTTGAAGTCACTGTAAATGGCATTACCAACCTCATTTTCCAATTGTTTGTAGCTTGGCGGGGTGAAGTGCACATACCGGTAATCACAACATTTCAGAGGCAGGAGGATTTTGAGTTCAAGGATAGCCTGGACTACATAGCAAGACCCTGTCTCAAAAAAAAAAAACCCTCCGTTGTTCACTGCTTGATTTATATTCTAAAAGGATGAGTGTGGCTCCCATACTAAGAACTTTAGTACAGGGGAGAAGGACAGAAGCAGGAAGGCCAGCAGGGGGCGATGGCAATCCCTTGGGAAGGGTGATGTGGTTGGGGAAGGGGTGGCTGTGTGGTAGGTGGTCCTGGGAAGAAGTCAGACTAAAGAGAGTCACCAGGATTTTCTGAGTGATGGAGGGCGGATGAAAAGGGGGAAGTTGGGGACGACGTCCAGGATGACCACCTAGACCAGTGGATCTCAGCCTCCCCATGCTGCCACCCTGAAATACAGTGCCTCCTGTTGTGGTGACCCCAACACAAAACTACTTCCATTGCTACTTCATAACTGTAGTGTTGCTACTCTCATGAGTCATAGCTATCTGATATGCAACCCCAAAGGGGTCACGACCCACAGGTTGAGAACCACTGAGCTAGACCTACAGCGGCTTTTTAGCAAGGAATCAGAGGTCTGGAAAGTCAGTCGCGCTGGGATGGGGCCTGGGCCACGCATCTGTGAATTATCAACATGAGCACCAAGGAGCTTACCAAGGTTGCACTTCCAGGGCGAGGGGGTCACCGTAGGGCGTCAGGGAGAGGAAGAAGAGTAAAGAGTGCATATGCTGTGAAGCTGAGGGAAGGTATCCGAGGAGTGGGTATCAACTGTGTGGAGTCATGAGCCCCCAGATGGCGTGGAATGCAGCGTTGCAGTGCTGTGCGGTCGTTGGCCCTGGGGAATTGGAAAAGCGGTGTTTCGCATGATGACTGAGCTGGGGGGGTGCTCAGGAGGAGACCTGGGCCAGCTGTCAAGATTCCCCTCAACCAGCTGAGGGTATAGCTTGGTGGGAAAGCTGAGACCTGGCTTTGACACCCAGCGCTGCGAAGGCTGGATGGCTCCCGGCCTAGAAGGCGAGAGGACTCACTGGGCTGCTGTCCCACGCAGGGATTCGTGGTGTGCACTGTGCAGGTGGCCTGTGTCTGTGTCCAGGACTTCACGCGATCTTCTTAATTCTTACGCCATGAGTGTGCCCTGTGACGACAGGCAGAGGGAATCCCTCAGCCTTCCCTGGGGTTGGTGACTTTTCTTGTGTCCTCAGCCACCTGTTGATAGCAGGTGTTCCTCCGGCTTCCCTGCAGCTAGGCCCTCACTTCAGTTGAGTCTCTTTGCAGGCCCACTGCAGCCTGAGGGAGACTTTCACACACTTGTGGCCTTGCCCCCCCGCCTGATCAGTTAGCCTGTGTCTTCCGCACCTTCGCCATCCCAGCCGAGCCACAGCAGCGGGAGCGACTGAGATGCGGCTGTCATGGCCGGTTGTGCTTGTCCGTGGCATGGTGCCTCAGTCCACACAGGGCAGAAAACGGGAGCTATGCTGCCTTCCACGGAAGCCGAGCCGGGAGGACACAGGGAAAGCCCCCGCGAGTGGCAAAGAAAAGGCACTCAGTTTTGTCTCTGCATTGGAGAGCCCTGCAGGCCACACTTAAGGGAGATGCCAAGGGAATTCTGCAGCACTGCTGTCAGGGCAGGATGCTCTACTTCCCGTGACCACCCGAGAAGTTCTGTGTCTTCCTGTGTCATGGTCTCTACAGGCAGGCTCTCCCCGCTAAAGCCTTCTGAGCGTGTCTGGTTTGCTAGTCTGGTACATTTAAAATGTTCTATGGCTTTCCATGGGGTTTAGGCTGTCACTGCGTAACCACCATTCACAGTCCTTGCTCTGGTCTAAGAGGGGCCTGGGTTTGAGGCTGCGCCTGGCCCCACACCTACCCAGGCCACATGGTTTATATTTGTGGGTTGTGCTGGAGACTGGGTTTTCAGGAACATATGTATGTGCCTGCACACAAACCCTGGACTGTCTGGTGTGAGTCCGCATCAGGAGGAGGGCAAGGTGGACAGGATGGACGATGTGAGCAGACAGCACTGTGAGGGGCCACGCCTATCCAGGGGTCCCATGTTCTAGAATGTTCCACATTTCTGTGGGCTGTTTTTATAAGCATCCCTAGGCACAGGCTGGTGGCAGCAGCTGGGGTTCAAGGGCTTAGTGTGTAAAAAAAAAGGAGCCTTAGCCGGGCGGTGGTGGTGCATGCCTTCAATCCCAGCACTTGGGAGGCAGAGGCAGGTGGATCTCTGTGAGTTCGAGGCCAGGCTGGTCCGACAGCTTCCAAAACAATACAGAGAAACCCTGTCTTGTAAAACAAAAACAAAAACAAACAAAAACAAAAAGGAGCCTTAAGGTCCCTGGCAGACAAGTTCTTAAGAACAACCGTGGGGCTGAGCGGTGGTGGCGCACGCCTTTAATCCCAGCACTCAGGAGGTAGAGGCAGGTGGATCTCTGTGAGTTCCAGGACAGCCTGGTCTACAAAGAGAGTTCCAGGACAGCCTCCAAAGGTACAGAGAAACCCTGTCTCAAAAAAAAAAAAGAGAAGGAAGGAAGGAAGGAAGGAAGGAAGGAAGGAAGAAAGAAAGAAAGAAAGAAAGAAAGAAAGAAAGAAAGAAAGGAAGAAAGAAAGAACAACCATGGAGTTGAGATGACTCAGTGTTTAGAGCACCGGCTGTTCTTCCAGAAGTCCTGAGTTCAATCCCCAGAAACCACATGGTGGCTAACAACCATCTATAATGAGATCTGGTGCCCTGTTCTGGCCTACAGGCAAATATGCAGGCAGAACACTGTATACATAATAAATAAATAAATTTTTACCAAAAAAAAAAGAACCATGGGAGAACTTAAGAATATTCCAGCATACTAACTCTCTGCACGTGGGGAAGTTCACAGCATCCCTTTTTTGTGTGGTACCTTAGCCCCATGGAAAGGGGTCAGGCAGCTTCCCACAGGTGAAGAAAGGATACGGGAGAGGCATTCAGAGCTGGCAGAAGTCAGCACATCAGAGGGGCAGAGGTAGCCTTGTTCCCATGCAGCTAACACCCAATGGCTCAGGCTTGACTCTGCCCAGCATTGTCAGGGAATAGGGACGTGCCAGCACCCTACCCAGCCCATAGCATTAGAACTCACCAGGTTCTTAGAGAACATCTGGGGAAACTGAGGCCCAGAATGGGACAGCATCCAGTCCAAAGTCACAAAGCACATTGGAAGCAGACCGAGGACCCTCAGCTCAGCAGCTTCTCCTGCCCCTCCCCCAGGGGATGCTTGTGAGGGGCTCCCCTCTTGTCTCCCCCTTCCCAGGCCTCTGCAGCTCTGGACCCTTATGTAGGGCAGGCTCTGCCATGCTTTGGGGACCACCATTTCCCTCATACCCACTGCAGCTCCAGGGAACTATAGACAGGGAACTGTAGTGAATTCTTCCCCACGGCTGGGAGAGCAAAGGAGTGTGTGTGCATTTTAGAGACCATCGAGGGCTGTGGATTCTGCCTAGGGGGGCAGGAAGGGGCAGAGGCGCAGGAAAGCAGCTTTTGAGGATGGAGCAGAAGCTACAGGCAGAGAGAACAGAATGAATACACAGGGCCCAGACTGACTGAAAAAATGAGACCCAGGAGCCTTCAACACATTGACTCACAGATTCCAAGCCAGCTACCTGGTCAACTCTGCAATCTTCCTTCCGGCCGCACAACCTTATCATCCCCCTTTTCTCTGTTATGTGGGCCAGAGCCTGGTGTGCTAGGGATATGGTGGGCAGCATCGTAATAAAAAGTGGAGCTGTTGGGGTCCGAGGGCGTCCTGGTTACCCCCGGCCTGTGTTCCATTCAGGTGCAGACATTCCATGGAGACCTGCTCCAGCACATGGAGAAGAACAGCAAGCTGGACATGCAGTTCATCAAGGTGAGTCTGTGCCTCTGCCCCAGCCCCTCCCAGACAAGACACACGCATACACATACACACGCGCACGCTCGCGCACACACACACATGTACACACATGCGCACATGCACGCACACATGCACACTTGCACATGCACACTTACACATGCACGCACTTACATATGCACATGTGCACGCACACATGCATGCACACAAACACACAGGCACCCTTGCAAGAGAGGGCCACATAGCCCCAGGCATCCACCTACCCCAGGTTGCATACAGTCCCATCTGGGCCCCTCGGTTCCATGTCCACTACTCTGGGCCCTGGCCTCTTTAATGCTGGGATCCCATGTCTCTCTGACCTACCCCAGGATAGCTGCCAGCACTATGAAATTGAGTATCGTCACCGAGCAGTCAACCTGGAGAAGTGCATGTCTGAGCTGTGGCGCATGGAGCGCAAGAGGGACAAGAATGCAAGGGAGATGAAGGTGTGAAGGCTGAGCAGCTGGGGACAGGTCTCCAGGGAAACCCAGAACCCTTGTGAGCGCTTCCACACAAACTGATCCCAGCTGTGGAGAGCACAGCAGGAGAGAGTCACCAAAGGCCACCCTCAGCCCTTCCACTTCCCTCAGCCTCATCAAAAAAACGGGACCACTGTTGCTCTTGAATGGGTAGCAAAAAACGGGTCTACCCACAGCCTGCCTGAAAAGAGACATCCAGTCCCTGCCCAGGGCGCTCCCTGATGCCATCCCTGCCATCCCTTGGGTCTCTGGAACTCAAGCCCACTGTTTAACTTCTGAGTCCTGTCTCCTCTCCCCAGAATCTCCCTTCCAATAGAACCTCACTCATCCTCTGTTTCAGTAAGCCATTCTCCCTATGGCCACCTCTGCACTCCCCTGTGCGGGGTACCAGAGACAGGACATGGGCCAAAGGTGCAAACCACACATTCAGAGGAGGCCTGGAGAAGGGGCATCTGAGCCCGAACAGGGCTCAGACCCCCAGCCAGACCTTCTCCTTCTGCCTCCAGGAGAGCGTGAACCGGCTGCACGCACAGATGCAGGCCTTCGTGTCCGAGAGCAAGCGCGCAGCCGAGCTGGAAGAGAAGCGTCGCTACCGCTTCCTGGCTGAGAAGCACCTGCTGCTCTCTAACACCTTCCTGCAGTTCTTGGGCCGGGTGAGTGGGGCTGGGGAGAGCAGGCCACGCCCTCCTGCGTGGGGCTGGGGAGAGCAGGCCACGCCCTCCTGCGTCAGCTGTGAGCAAGAGGCAGGGACGCTCCTTCCCTCTCTCTTCCTTTCCTTTCTTCAGCTGAGTAGAAATTAATCTCACAACACTGTTTCTGTGTTCATTTGCATATATAATTAATTCATTATTTGTTTTGCATACATACACTTATTCATTCATATGCAAGTCATTTATTTAATGGATCAGAGGACAACTCTGTGTAGTTGGTTCTTTTTTATACTTTACTTGGCTTGCAGGGCTCAACTCAGATTATCAATCAGGCTTTTGCAGCAATCCCCTTTGCTAAGTGCTGTCCCCACCCCCTTTTCTTCTTCCTTCCTTCCTTCCTTCCTTCCTTCCTTCCTTCCTTCCTTCCTTCCTTCCTTCCTCCCTGTCTGTGCTGTCTTGCTTATCCTGGAACTCATATGTAGACCAGCCTGGCCTCAAACTCACAAGTGCTGGGATTAAAGGCACGTGCCACCACTGCCCAGCATCACCGTTTTTTTTTTTAAATGCTGAATGCATATGCCCACCCTTCATCCATTCAGTCCCAGGGCTGTTCAGTGATTAGATATTAATTGTGTCATCAAAGTGGACTATTTGAACCTCTGTGCTGTCTGCTAGAGCAGTCCGATTTTCTCAGTTCTCTTGGGTCTCTAATGGTTTTACTTTCTGCATTTAGTTGTTTTGCCCTTTGGGGTGTAAGACTATTAGGCCTTTCTCATAAAAATGTGTGTGTGTGTGTGTGTGTGTGTGTGTGTGTGTGTGTGTGTGCTTGATAGCTGTCTTAGTCAAATTTGAAGCTTTTAATTGCGCTGTGATGTTAGCGCATTCTTGTCTTTCTCCAAGCACGGGCTCCATTAACAGCATAGGCTGAGTTTTGGCTTTTGACCAGGTTGACCATCTGTGGTCATCATTACTATCTTTTTCTCTTCTTTCTTTATCCCCTTCTTTTTCCTCCCTCTGTCCTTCCTCCTACTCTCTTTCTTCTTGAGACAGGTTCTCCTATAGCCCACGTTGGCTTCTAACTCACTGTGTAACTGAGGACGACCTTTAACCTCTGACCCTCCTGCCTACCACATCCCACCATTCACCATGTGTGTGCGCTAGGGACTGAGCAGGTCTGTCTTCACACATGCAGACAGATACTCTGTCGATGGAGCTACCTCCTCAGTACACAGCCTGTGTCTGTCTTCTAAATGGGGATCCCACCGTCCCCATTCAAGCTGATGTCTGCTATACCTAGGGTGTGGCCGGCTAACTGGAAGGGTGAAGAGAATAAGGGGGAGGAGTTGTAGATTTTTTTCAAGGGGGTCTTCTCCCGAAGCCCCTTCCAGATGGGATAGGGGCCGGTAGTCCTTGGCCATGAAGAATTCAGTGACGCTCTGGGCATTGAAACCTTGTAGCCTTTGCTGGAGAAACTTGGTGAGACGGCTGAAAGGGCAGGGACCCAAGAGTCAAGTTAGCAGGAGCATAGTGATTGGGCCTGCCAAGGGGGCAGTCAGGTGCCCTTCCGGAAAGTACTGTCTGCCCTTTCTCTGTGTTTGATCTTTCTAATTGTTTAGCATGTTCTCAATAGGCCAGGTTGGTTCCCATGAAAACAGCGTTCTTCCCCCAGGAAGCACAGATGCACCCCCCTCTGTTGTCAGTCACTGAGTCTAGTTCTCTGCGCTTTTGGAGGACCACAGAAGCTAGGGGATCTATTTGATTTTGTAAGGTAATTATGCTTTTAATACCAAAGCAGGTTTTCCTTAACCTAATTGGTCAGCTGGCCGTGTTATAACTGTTGGAGCCCTGTCATCGATGCCTCTCTAGGGCCACCTGGGGAGTACTGAAGTAGCCTGGGGCTTCTCTTTCTTCTACTGCTATGATCAAGATGCTGATAAACGTCCCATCTCGAGAGCATCTAAGGCTAGCGCTAGCGTGAGGAAGACTGTGGCACATGGTCCTCCAGGGTAGCAACTGTTAAGTTCTATCCTGACATATAAAGCAAGGACCCTTTGATGCCTTGGGAACCAACTGGGTTCAATTTGGTTCTGGTCCTATACAACTGGCCTTGACTATTGTCTGAATCAGGGTTCTGGCTAAGCAGGGTTCATCTTTTGACTGGTTGGTTTGTGTTAGGCTGGGTATGCCTGCCCGGCAGTATGTGTCATTTGGCTGGCTCTCAAACAAATCCTGGAATTTTCCCCTGTCCCTGGACCTCGAGACATGACTGGAGTTTCCCACTGGAGCATTTTTTCAGAGGGGTATTGGGATTAAAGAAGGGTGACTGTGATCATGGGACCCCGATCCCAGGAGTGAGTTGGTGAGCTGGGGTGCCCAGGCATCTCACAATTGTCTGTAACTCCAGTTCCAGGGGATCCTACATCCATGGCAAAACACCAATGCACATAAAATTTAAAAAATAAAAAACCATCAAAATCCAAAATTTCGAATTGGGGCCAGCGATAGCCACTACTGAGGGGGTACTATGGCTATTGAGGGGTACTATGGCTATTGAGGGGTACTATGGCTATTGAGGGGTACTATGGCTATTGAGGGGTACTATGGCTATTGAGGGGTGCTATGGCTATTGAGGGGTACTATGGCTATTGAGGGGTACTATGGCTATTGAGGGGTACTATGGCTATTGAGGGGTACTATGGCTATTGAGGGGTGCTATGGCTATTGAGGGGTACTATGGCTATTGAGGGGTGCTATGGCTATTGAGGGGTACTATGGCTATTGAGGGGTGCTATGGCTATTGAGGGGTACTATGGCTATTGAGGGGTACTATGGCTATTGAGGGGTGCTATGGCTATTGAGGGGTGCTATGGCTATTGAGGGGTGCTATGGCTACATAATGCTAGGAGAGTGCTTGCCCTGGAGCTGAGTCCCTGCCCACCACCACGTGAGGTTTCCCATGTCCTGGGAAAACCTTGGTGGTGACCCATGACTAGCTTGGAACTTGCTATCCAGGACAGCCTCAAACTTGCAACCATCCTCCTGCTTCTGCCTCTTGAGTGCTGGGATTATATGAGACACCCCACGGGGGGCCACCCCTGCCCCTGACTTTAAACTCCTGATCCTCCTGCCTCCCGCTCCCCAGTAATGGGACTAAAGGCATATGGCACCACAACCCTGGTGACTTCTTCTTTCTTCTTCTTTTTAGTATTTATCTATTTGTGCATACATGCACCCTGGTGCATGTGTGGTCCGTGGGTTCTTGTCTCTCAGCTTGTCCAGACAGGGTCTCTTGTTACTACTGCTGCTGCGCCGTGTGCCCCAGGCCAGCTGGATGTAGGAGTGTTGGACTTACAGATGTGTGTCCTGCATCAGGCTTCCTGCTTGGGTCACCAGGCTTGAGCAGCTGGCCCGTTTACCCTGTGAGCCATCTTGTCTTGTCATCCAAGAATCCCCTTTCTGCCCCACCTGTATATTTCCAGATTCTTGACTGGTGTCTTCTCTGGCTTTGGGACCCCAGGTCCACTCTGCCTCTTCTTAGGTGCAGGTTACCGGGACTGGGCAGGGCTGAGAGAAGCTAAGTGCTGTCAGGCCAGCCTTGGTGTTTCAGGCCTAGCTAGGGGCTCTCAAATTGGGCAAAGGTCCCTCTAAACTAGACAGGCAGGGCTGGGGTGCCAGCAGTTCACTGACCCTGAAGCGTCTCTCTGAGTTCCTATACTAATTACTGACTGTAAGGAAACATGGCGTCCACTCAGGCCTGCTGGACCAGCTGCTCCTACAGTGTCAGGACCGTGGTCACTGCTGCAGGAAACAGTTCTGAAGGTGCAAGCTGCTGCTCTGTGGCTATGAGATCGTCACTGAGCTCTCTGACCCTCTTCAGTAACAGGGCCACCAGGAGATGCAAATGAGATAAAGACAGGTGTCCTCATTGCTTGATCTCTGCTTTATTGATTTTTTTGTTTTGTTTTGTTTTTCTCTGTGGCTTTGGAGGCTGTCCTGGAACTAGCTCTTGTAGACGAGGCTGGTCTCGAACTCTCAGAGATCTGCCTGCCTCTGCCTCCTCAGTGCTGGGACTAAAGGCATGTGCCACCATCTCCCGGCTATGATCTCTGCTTTATTTACTGAGGCAAAGCCTTGCTGCATCCAGAGCCAATGGTTGTCGGGCTCATCTAGCTAGCCAGTTTGCCCAGGATATCCCACAAGGCCTGGACACTTTGTTCTGTAAACTTCCCAGTTCGTCTTGTTTTATATAATAAAGCGTCCAGGTTGCTACGATTAGGACCATGGTGAAGGACCATGGTCCCCTGTGGAGTCCAGAGCCTGACTGTCAGGCCCACGGTTTCCTTGATAAGGAATGAGCCAGGGAAAGGTGGGCAGGCCTCAGATGGTGTGGTTAACCCCCACAGGTCTGGGCTGCACCCCACCCCACCCACCCCACCCCTCTGCCTCTGCAAGGAGCCTTTGCACACAGGAAAGGCAGGCTCCCAGATAAGGGGTGGTGTCTTAAGCAATCTCCAAGACGCGACACCTGTAGGGCCCCAGCATCTGTGAGCCACACTTGACCCAGTGTCTCTGGCCAGGCCCGGGGGATGCTACAGAACCGCGTGCTGCTGTGGAAGGAGCAGACCGAGGCCAGCCGCAGCCCGTCGCGTGCCCACTCCCCGGGGCTGCTGGGCGCAGCACTGGGGCCGCCCTACCCCTCGGGCCGCTTGACGCCCACCCGGCTGGACATGGTGAGGCCCTGGCCGCCCCCGCCGCCCTTCGCACCCCCGCCGCCCTTTGCGGGGCCCTGGGCACCGCCGCCCTGCGCCTGGAGCCCGCCGTCCCCCGCACCCCCGCTCTACGCTGCGCCCCTCGCGCCCTGGCGTCGGGGGATCGCCTCTGCGCCCCCGTGGTGGCCCCGCCGTGTCCCCAACCCTTACGCCGCCGACACCTGGGACTGGTACTGGGGACGGAGCTAGCGAGGCTCCGCCCCTCCCGCCCCACCCCCTGCCCTCTCCCCTCACAGCCCCCGAGGCCCCTGGGAGAGTATGGCTCCCCCCGCAGCCGGCATGGCTCCGGGTCCTACGGTCCAGAGCCCGCCGAGGCGAGGTCCGCGTCCCAGTTGGAGCCAGACCGCCGATCACTGCCCCGGACGCCGTCGGCCTGTGGGTATCCCACGCACAGAGGTGCAGGGGGTGGGCCAGGAAGGGGCTGGGGACTGGGTTGCAGCATGAGGGATGAAGGATAGACTGCTGGGAGAACTTTCACTCATACCCTCCCCCGACCCCGCAGCCTCGCTCTATGCTAGCAGCACCCAGCGCTCCCGGTCCAATTCCTTCGGCGAGCGCCTGGGCGGCGGGGGTGCCAGGAGAGTCCGCGCCCTGGTCTCCCACTCGGAGGGTGCCAACCACACGCTGCTGCGCTTCTCGGCTGGAGACGTTGTTGAGGTGCTGGTGCCCAAAGCTCAGAACGGCTGGCTCTATGGCAAGCTGGAGGGCTCGTCCGCGTGAGTGGAGCCCCCAGGCCTCCCTGTCCCCTTCTCCAATCCCCGTCCTGCCCCCACCCCATCAACTCAGCTGATCCTGGGGCTGAGAACCAAGTAGGGGCCTTGGAGAAGGGCACAGATGGGATGGGCAGCGGGCAAAGGGACTCAGAAAAACCTTCATGCCTTCTGGGCACCCCTCCGCGCCCTCTGCGCCGGAGCTGAGATCCCCGCAAGCACTGTACAGCTGCCAGCCCCGAGGAACTCAAACGGGCTGAGGAGGAGGAGGGAGAGCTAGACACCCCCGAGCCTCCACACAAACGGGACTCACAGACGGCTCGCAGACTCAGAGCCTGCTAAACACCACTGTCCACCCGCCTGCAGGGCGGAGGTCGGGGAAAGTGTCTCCTCACGGGGCACCGGTTGCTATGTCAGTCACTTTCGGGTGAGGAGTACTCTTTGAGGAACATTCTCCCAGCATCTGCTGCCCGTCCCCCGTCGGCCTTCTGAAAGATTAGGGGGTACCTGACCCGGTGGCTGCGGACCCTCATAACTGTGCCACTCGCTAGGCCAACTCCAAACTGGTGCCGACCCTGTGGACGGGGACATAACAGAGGGCCCGTGGCTGAGGGCCATCACTACCTGTCCCTGGTGGGACAGGAGGCACACGCCCTACTAAGCCTTGACTACCGGAAGCCACGTTGGTGGGGTGGGGCAGGCCGCTGTCTGTGGTGTCTTCAGAGCCCAGGCTGCCTGCAGCCCTCCTTACGAGGCCATGCTCAAGGGGCCATTGGTGTCCGCCCTACAGGAGTGGCTGGTTCCCTGAGGCCTATGTGAAACCTTTGGAGGAGATGCCAGTGAACCCCATGAACCCTGTAGCCCCCATGAACTCCACGGCCCCCATGAGCCCAAGGAACGAACTGCCTTCCAGGTACCTCAGCTGGGGTGGGGCGCCAAGGGTGTTCTGTCGGTCCCTCCAGGAAGCATCTATGAGACAATTGTCTTTTTTGGCCTCTGGAGAACTGTGGCCCGGATTTCCCACCTCCTAATGAAGGCTGTTGTGTAATTCTCTCTGCCTCCTGTTAGGGCTCCTTCACCGTCATCCCCCAGCCTCAGGCCCAGCAGGTGGGAGGGGGGCCCCAGACCTTCCTGCTCTCTCTGTCTCTCTGACTCAGGTCCTACCCGCTCCGGGGCAGCCACAGCCTTGAAGACCTCTTGGACAAGCCAGGCAACCCCGCAGCTGCATCAGACTACTGGGATAGCCAGTCTCGGTCCCGGAACCCGAGCCGTGCCCCCAGCCCCGTGCCCACACCCCTGTCCAGCAGCAGGCGGAGCAGTGTGGGCAGCATGGGGGCAGCCACCGATGTCAAGGTCAGCCCCACTGTCCTCAGCCTGGCCAGACCTACGGAGTCTCCCAGCAAGGGAGACCTTGGCCGTTCTTGGCGGGATGGGAGGCGGTGGCGGTGATGACAAAAGAGTGGGCTGGGGCCACGGGGTCGCCAGCCTTACCTTGCAGGGGCAGTCAGCCCCAGGCCATGGCGCTGTGCAAGGCCTAGAGCTTTCTCGGAAACCAGGCTTTGGGCTGCACTGTGTCCTCAAATCCCCGCCCTTCAGGGCCTCTGCCTCCCAGCCCTGTGCTCTCTTGGGGTGAGTGGTGGGACCCCACCTTCCTTTCGCCCCTGAACCTGCCCTCCCTTCGTGCAGAAACTCATGTCCTGGGAACAGCAACCCCCAGAGCTCTTTCCACGGTGAGTCCCAGGGCGCAGGAAGCCAGCCAGATGGGAGCCGGTGACTCGAATCGGGCGGGCGGGGCGGCGAGCAGCGGATGCTTGGCCAGCTACTCTCCCTAGACACACAGCCGGTGGGGAGGGGGGTCTGCCCCCCTTACCGTAGCCTATCCCCCACAGGGGTACAAATCCCTTTGCCACCGTGAAGCTGCGCCCCACTGTCACCAACGACCGCTCAGCACCCCTCATCCGCTGAGGCCGAGTCCTGCACCAGGGCCTGAGGTGGCCCAGCACACCTGCCCAGGGCTCTTCCCGCAGCAGCAGCAGCAGCAGCAGTGGATCCAAGATGCCAGGCGCTCGTACCCAGGGGACCATCCCTACCCCTCTGCCCGAAGTCCAAGAGCTCCCTGAGGGCTGGGCCTGCAACACGGAGCAGGGGGAAGGGGGCGGGGTCACAGAGCAGCTTTGGGGGCCCAAGACTCCCCAGGATCCAGCCTCCCAGCTTCTTCCCGCCTATGCCCCAAAGGCAAAGGCCTCCTCTTCCACCCCACGTCCCTGTTTAACTTTTGTAAATGATAAAAATAAAGAAAGTGGGCACAGTGGCAGTGGAGCTGTCTGATTTGCGGGCAGGGTGCGGCCTTGGAAGTGGGATCCTCTAGGGTTAATGGAGTCTCAGGTTGGTCTCCCCCTCCAGCCCTCAGGACTCTTTTTTTTTTAATCTAGGGCTGCACTAAGGCTCTCGCTGTCACCCCACCCCTCCCTGTCTCCAAATGGCATCCCAAAGAACGGTGCCTGCTCCCTTCACTGGGACACAGCACCCTTTGTTCCCGCCCCCCCCCCCAGCCAGGCTCGGGACTGGATTAGCCTTATCCACGGGAAGCCAGGAGCCCCTCCTGGAATGTGACCGGGGCTGGGGTGGGAGCAATGGCACAGAAGTGACTTGACAGGGCACCACTCTGCCCCCAGACCCAGATCACACACGCCCCCCCCCCCTGCAAGGCAGGGCTGGTGCCCCTGTCAGAAGCACCGAGAGGTGAAGGGGGTGAAGGGGGTCTCCTTGCTCTTGGCCCCACTATGTCAGCCCCTCTGGCTCACTTGTGCTCAACTCCCTTTCTGGTAAAGCCTCTTAGCAGGGGTGGGTGAGGGGACTCTAAGTCGCAGGCCTGGGGTAGGAGTTGAATTGCAGGAGCACAGTCTCAGTAGCCAGGGCTGTCTGAATCTGTACCTGCCAGCCTCAGGAACCTGGAAGCAGTCCCTCCCTCAGGCCTCAGGAGATGTGAGGCTGAACCCTAAATCCAGAGTCAAGTCCAGGTGAGTGTCTGGGGAGGGCTGCGGGCAGTTTCCTGTCCCTGTGTTCACAGGCATGTTGGGTGTGGGGAGGCAAGGAAAGTCAGAACCTGAAACTTCGGGAGGGCAGAGTCCCAGGTGTCCCTGGGGAGAGGTCCTGGGGGCAGAGCCCAGGGCCCCCACCCTCCTCACCTGTGGTGGATATAGTAGGACTTTGGGACCCCTGCCTAGAGATGGAGAGCCTAGGTTATGAAGTGCTGGGCTCGGGTCTCTCTTCCAGAGGCCCTTCTCTTCCCCAAGATTTCCAGCTGGTCTCCCAGTGCTCAATCAGCCATCCTACTGGTGGGGAAACTGAGGCTCAGCAGGGAGAGAGGGCCTGTCCAAGTTACAGGGCAAACTCCTTCCAGAACAGGCACAAGCTGAGCCGGGGCCAGGGTCCTGTTGATTTAATTATGACTCATTGCTGGTCACTGACAAGAGTCAAGAGCAAGAGAGGGCTCAGTGCAGCTGGCATCTGCCCCACTGGGTGATTGGATCATTTGTCCAAAAACCCAAATGTTCTCACAGATACTGACAGTCCTACTACACACACCCCACACAATACACAACACACAACACATATACACACACCACACACCACACACCACACCACACCACAAACACACACACCACACACCACACCACACACACACACACACCACACCACACACCACACCACACACACACACACCACACACCACACAACACACACCACACACACCACATATACACACACCACACAACACATATACACACACCACACACACCACATATACACACACCACACACACCACATATACACACACCACACAACACATATACACACACCACACAACACACACCACACACACCACATATACACACACCACACACCACATATACACACACCACACACACCACATATACACACACCACACACACCACATATACACACACCACACACCACATATACACACAACACACAACACACACCACACACACCACATATACACACACCACACAACACATATACACACACCACACACACCACATATACACACACCACACACACCACATATACACACACCACACCACACATATACACACACCACACACACCACACACACCACATATACACACACCACACAACACATATACACACACCACACACACCACATATACACACACCACATATACACACACCACACAACACATATACACACACCACACCACACATATACACACACCACACACACCACACACCACACACCACACACACACCTCAGGGTCCACAGTGGCTGCTGGGCTCTGGCACTCACTGGTCCTCTTCCCCTGTCATTACTAGGTCCCAGGAGGAGAAGAGTCCTAGTGGGGAGTCCTTGAAGTCAGGTCTATTCACCCATCACAGGCCTTTGCAGGAAGGTGGGAAGACTTGGGGCTGCCTCCCTTGCGGGATCTGTAACCCTGAAAGGGCTCAGGGGGCAGCCTGGGGCTGTTTCTCCTTGCAGGTCTCAGTCCTCTCCTCTGCAGCGCCCACCACTGCCTTTTGTGCCCCTCTTCCCCAGCAGAGGTAGAGGCAATGGGCACTGGCCACCCACGACGGGGTGCAGGCCCCCCAGATGGCGGCTGGGGTTGGGTGGTGCTGGGCGCCTGCTTCGTGATCACCGGCTTTGCCTACGGCTTCCCCAAGGCTGTGAGCGTCTTTTTCGGAGAGCTCAAGCATGACTTCGGTGCAGGCTACAGTGACACAGCCTGGGTGTCCTCCATCATGCTGGCCATGCTCTACGGCACAGGTCAGCACTCCTCCCAGAGCTCCTGGGGTCCAGCGTCTGGGGTAGGGGATCTACATCCTACAGAAGCACCACTGCCCCGCCCCCCCCTTGGGAGCATGTGGAAGCCTCAGCCCCAGAAAAGAGCAGGTAGGGCATATAGGTGGAAATGGAAACCCCCTCCCAATGCTGGCCTGGAGGGATTTCCTGCCAGCAAACCCACACTGGGCTGCGTTAACCTGGAGAAGCATCCCAGCTCCCCACAGCCCTGACGCTGGAGTTTTGAGAGGGTGGGGGCCTTCAGGAGGATGGCGTCTGGTGGGATTCAGAGACGAAGAGTGGAAGCCATCCTTTGGGCTGTGGAGGGGGCGTAAACACCCCTTCAGGGTCTTTCAGACCTCGGAGGTACAAAGCAGGGCCTGGCGCATTTTCTGGAGGGAAGGTTGGTCTAACCCGGGCGGTGACCCTGCTCTGCCCACAGGCCCCTTATCCAGCATCCTCGTGACGCGTTTTGGCTGTCGTCCAGTGATGCTGACTGGTGGGCTCCTGGCTTCTGCGGGCATGATCCTGGCTTCCTTTGCCTCGCGCCTGCTGGAGGTATACCTGACAGCTGGGGTGCTCACAGGTGAGGGCACCCATGTCTTCTCCCTGCAGGGATGTGGGTGGCATAACCCACACGTGGGTGCGGGTCGGGAGTCCCTGCCGCAAGTCTCTCGGTTCCCAGTTTCCCCCAAAGGGGTGCCTCCCTAAGTCCCCTGTCTCACCATCCCGGGTTGGTACTTATCCTCCCGGTCCCGGCCCAGCCTGGCCCTGCCGCTGAGGCCAGAAGGGGCACCCCAGCCGCGTCGCCTCGCCTGCAGGCCTGGGCCTGGCCCTCAACTTCCAGCCGTCGCTCATCATGCTGGGGCTCTACTTCGAGCGGCGACGGCCCCTGGCCAACGGGCTGGCAGCGGCGGGCAGCCCGGTGTTCCTGTCCACGCTGTCGCCGCTCGGCCAGCTGCTGGGGGAGCGCTTCGGCTGGCGCGGCGGCTTCCTGCTGTTCGGCGGCCTCCTGCTGCACTGCTGCGCCTGCGGGGCCGTCATGCGGCCGCCACCAGGGCCCCCGCCTCCACCGCGCCCGGACCCTGCGGAGGACCGCGCGCCCTCCGGTGGCCCGGCTCGCCGCCGCCTGCTGGACGTGGCGGTGTGCACCGACCGCGCCTTCCTGGTGTACGTGGTCACCAAGTTCCTGATGGCGCTTGGGCTTTTCGTGCCCCCCATCCTGCTGGTGAACTACGCCAAGGACGCGGGCGTGCCTGACGCGGAGGCTGCCTTCTTGTTGTCCATCGTGGGCTTCGTGGACATCGTGGCGCGGCCGGCGTGCGGTGCCCTGGCGGGCCTGGCACGCCTGCGACCCCATGTCCCATATCTCTTCAGTCTGGCCCTGCTGGCCAACGGGCTCACAGACCTGATCAGTGCGCGTGCGCGCTCCTATGGCACCCTCGTGGCTTTCTGCATCGCCTTCGGCCTCTCGTATGGCATGGTGGGCGCGCTTCAGTTCGAGGTGCTCATGGCGACCGTGGGTGCACCCCGCTTCCCCAGTGCGCTGGGCCTGGTACTGCTCGTGGAGGCCGTGGCGGTGCTCATAGGACCACCCTCTGCCGGTGCGCACTGTAGGAAGCATGGCTAAGCACGGGCGCTGTTGGTGGAAGGGAAGCCCTTTAGACAGAACTTCCAGAGTTGAGGGGAAGGCAGGCCCCCTTGCTGGAAAGCCTGGTTGGTGGACTCCCTCCATGGCTAGGTAACTCCTCCCCCAGCCAGGGACCACCCCCAGGGGGGTGAGGATGGAAAAGCCAGAGGTCGGTCTCAAGAAGAAATACACAAATTGCCATCTAGCCATCTAGCTAAGACGTCTTGGGCACACCAGCCTTCTCAAGCAGTTGGCACGAGGGTAGGGCCGAGGAGGGGGTTAGATTCGGAAGCTTAGCCTGAGTTGTGGGCCCGGATCTGCCCCTGGACCGAATATGTGTGGACATCAGTCCCCAGCCTGTAAAGCAGAACAGGGAACCAGCCCTGGCTAGGAACAGAGAAGCCGTGCTCCAGCACCTTTTCTGCCAGGTCCTCTGCCCATCCCGGCCATGCTCTGCAGGTGAAGGGGGGGGGAGGGGGGCGATGTGAAAGGAAGGGCGGGGAAAGTTATCAGTGAACAAGTGAGGCCTAAGATAAGGTGGAAAAGGTGGATCCTGGACACTGAGACCTTCCTGAGTTGTCTGATTATGCTGAGCAAGCAGGAGCCAGCCTTAAGTGAGCCACAGCTAGGCTTCAGGAGTGAATGGGAGAGGAGCCCAGGCGGCGACAGAGATGGAGTAAGCAGCCATCTTTCCTTCAGAGACAGCCAGATGGCAGAGTGTCCCAAGCAAGCTCTGTCTGCTTGCCTGACCCAGGGAAAAAGGCAAAGCCCCTGAACCAAAGTGTGGGTACCCTCTCTCAAGTCCACCACCCAGAAAGCCTCAAGGTTGGCCCACGCAGAAGCCCGGGGACCAGCTGCTGTT